GGTCCTAGGCATGATTAATCCGTCACAGGGAAGGCCATAAGTGCTCATGTCTTTGAACTCCTGAAAGGGCAACCTAACGAACAAGGAGTCAAGGCCATGTTGTCGATCCCAGACTAATCTACAACATAGTATCACTCAATGAATGTTGGGAAGGGAAAAAAAAAAGGTGACTCCAAAGAAGGGGGACTTCAAGACAAATGATCCACAATTTTCTCCAACTCCCAATATGATAAACGGATGTACGTTACTTAGTGTTGAAGGCGGTCACCAGTGTACACTTTATCTGGAGACCAGCTACTAAAAAGTTTGTAATATAGGTGAAGCAAAGGAAATCCACGATCAAGTGCTTTGACATCAGAAGGTTCCAAAGAATAAAGACAGTCTACAGACTGCCCAAAAGATGCCTATCCAACTTTTCTCTTTCTCTATTTTCTGAATGTTTAGGTAGTTTACTATGTGTGATTCAATCCTTGGAGGTTGAGCAGTAAGTTAGTGTTTCACTAAAATGTGTACTACGAAAATTTTGAAGACAAATATGACTCCAAATACCTAGAGAATGAACACAAAAAAACCAGCAAACAAACTCACTCAAGACCGCATACTAATCAAGAGCTTTTCACTAACACATGTGTTTGAGAAGAATTCCCAGCGCTCGTAAGCAACTTGTTCCTTTCACATACGACTTTACTTACAAGGAATGGAACATCTTTGATCCGCAGGTTACAAAGACATTAAAGAACGCAAAAGAAAGGAAATTTACAGTATATCAAACTCCAGGAATTGATATGGACCCTGTATACCTTGTGTTTGTTGCTAGGGAGTCAAAAGATTGTGACTCTCTCTCTGAAATCCTTAAGCTTTGCTCCTCAATCTCTTGGTTAGCTCCTGTCTCAGTCTCTCTTCACAGTCTCACTATTCAAAGCCTCTCTCTTATTTCCAGCAAGATTTCCAGAGAATATGTACTCTGAAAGTCATGCAGCTCTCTCTGGAAAAATGACCCAGAAAGACATCTCTTTTACTCATGAGTGCCATGTTTCTCTAGAGCTTTGAAAACTTCTTATTCAAGTCTTCAATCCTTTTATCAAGTATCCAATCTTCAAACTCATGTTCTAGAGCATATTTCAGTTGAGAAAACATCGCAAAATTCATCTACCATGATATCCCTGAAGTGTCTTGATTCTATGAAGGAAAACTCCATATTTGGAAAGTCTGCTGCAAAGATGGACTTATTCCTTGGGATCCCCTACAAAACCGATGAAACAATAGTATTTTGTCTTTCTGATCTTTCCAAAACATGACTTGCTACTTTCTTACCAAGATGCCTTTCTTCTATATTTTATTTCTTTCCAAAACATGTTATGAACCTCAAGATATGAAGAGATTACAGTCACCTTCCAGAACACATTTTCCGTTAGACGACTTTCCATTTTCCTTCAATTTCTGTCTTCAATCTTTATTTTCCCTGCCAAAATGCTTTCCAAATCATTAATCCCATTCCAGACAACCATCGAGACACCCTCTTCCACTTTTCTGGTAGACACTGCTTCCATGTCGCTCTACCACAAATGACGCACTTTTAAGAGGAGCATGGAAGGCCGTCCTCCCGTTTTTTGGCTTCCATGCCCTTCTTGGTAGAACTTGGTTCTCCCATTCACAAACTTGGGTCTCCCGCTCCCAAAAAGTTCCACAAAATCAAACACGCCCCAAAAGATTTTTAGAACCTTCTGGAAGTTTCCTCTTCGATCCCCTTGCATTGTCTTCTCTGCCAAAAAGGTAGACTGGACTTGCCACAGAACCATAAAGCACTCCCGAAAATTCTCACGTTCCGATATTTCCAATCTAAAATCATTGCAAAAAATTTCTAAAGTCTCTGTTTTGATTTTATACTTTCCCTTCGATTTTCTCATATTCATTGGGTCTGTCACAAAGGCGCACTACATCTTTTGTTTCTGCGCAAAAGGTGAACTTGAGTTCTGTAGAAGAAGTACAAATAATGTTTATAGGAGACCCTAGTCCCCCAAATTCTCCAAGAACTACAAACATGGTTCTAGTGAGCTTTTCCTTAAGACTCCCTCCCTCATTTGCAACTCTCCTAGCTCCCATCTGCAAGCTTCTAAGTCTACCGCAAAGGTGGACTTGTGAGTTTCATGGCTCCACAGCAGGTTCATATAGGCTATCATGAACGCACTTCTTTTTTAATTTAAATCCACACTATCCCAGACCTTCTACCAACTTTGGATCTTTCCAGCTACCTTTTAACCCAAAATGTCGAGTTTGCCATAAAGGCGCATGAGCTCTGCAGCAAATCATTCACCTTCTTCAAGAATCCTTTCCCTATCCAGGGACCACATAGTCATTTTCAGTTTCATTTTATAGGTGTAGAAAACACCCCCAAACAGTTTGTTACTTTGCTGAATTTTTTCCTGATCAGCAACAGTATTTTACTAATTCCTTTTTCAAGATATACAACTGTAGTCGTAAAAGAAAACAAAGACAAAAGGCATATCACATAAAGGACGGTCCTAAAGTGTATAGGTTGGAGCAACAACTAAGTTGCGTCTCGAGGTTCCCTCATTGTAGATTACTGATATATAACACAAACAACATTTAATAGAATCAGTTCCTTTTTAAGCATGGATTCCAACTTGGTTACCCAAAAGAGATTTTGGACCTTCCAGGATAGACAGCTCCCAAAATTAGAACTCTAGATTCCATGTTCATAGCAAGGTCTGTATATAATCATGGGAAGGGCACTCTTCTTGTATCTAGTATAGATAAGTGGTGGCGCAGGAAGAATCTGTAGCTTGTGATCATATCCCCCCCGTGGAGGTCATTCCTGGAACAAAAAGATTCAACTGTTGGCCATGAGGCCTTATCCTCCAAAATTTAAATTTAAAAAAAAAAAAGGGCGGGGGGCGGGGTGGCGCTTCCATGGAAAGAATAGCATAGCAAAAACAATTTAATAACTTATTTGAGTAAAAATCAGTTTAAAAACACCAAATGACATGCATGTTCTAGAAAATGAATTATGCAAAGCACAAAATGATACCATTTTATTCGAGTTTCCACCTCTCAAGAGTTCTTACAAAATTCTGGACAAATTTCTTACTTGCTAACTCAATAGATTAGCAACACATCATCCAACAGAATCCATCATAGAATTCTTAAGTGTAGATATGCCACACATAACTATGGTATGCTTTCAGAAAAACCCTATAGACCTTGGACCCTACAAATCTTGACATCCAAGAATCTAAGCACAAATCCTGACATCCAAGAATCCAAAGCTTGTGTCAATGATAAACTTCTATTATATTCAACAGCAATCTCACAAACTATGGTTTTGTATAAGATTTTATTTACATTCTTCTACAATGATAATTTTTTTTACTAAAAATAAAAAAATGGAATAAACAAAAGTTGATAAATTTATGAAGAAAAATCACAAGTCATGAGACACAGCAGGTGCAAACTCGAGCAACCAATACTGATGCTACGGTAGCTAAGAAGCCATGCAATCTTCCCAAAGACAAAGAAAGCAAGAATATATTATTTCTGATGATCGCCTCATGAACTTGTTCACATTTATGATAACCTAGCATAACTCTTCACTAGTTGTGAAGAGCTGCAAATAAACCAAATAGTCCATATTATCGATGACTATTTGAGTTTCTAAGATCCCACAAAAGGAATTTCAATCTAGTTGTGAAGAGCTGCAAACCAAATAGTCCATATTATCAATGACTAAGTGAATTTCGAAGATCCCACAAAAGGAATTTCAATCTGTTTGCACTAAAAAATTTAGACATGTATAATACCAGTGAGCACTTCAAAAAGTATCTTCACACCAAAAAAGGCATTTCTGTCTAAATAGATTGCTCACTAATTCAGGTACAGAACATTTTACCAATTAGCACCAATCCCACACAATTGAACATCATGAGCATTAATATTGAGCTCTGCAACTCTGAAACCAGATAGCAGAAACTCAGCCGAGTTTAGTCGACCGAGTCGATTCGGACTTGGCACCTTGCCAAGTCGAGTACCAAGGTACAAAATTGGGTATATAACAATCATAAAAAATTTATATTTTTTGCTAAATCAATGTATAACTATTTTATATATAGATTTTATGTTTCTCACGATGATTTGTGAGTTTTCCATTTGCTTTTTTTTTGTAGCTTCCCCAAGGTACAAAATTGGGTATATAACAATCATAAATTCCATCTTTTATATATTTTTTCCATATTTTTTGGACTTTTAACGCTGTTTAAGTTTAGTTCGCTTCTTACCATTTTTTTCATCTTTTTTACAATTTTTTTTATTTTTTTAAATAAAATTAACCCTTTTCTGGGATGTACACTACTCAGGCAAGCCCACTTGGACTCCCCCAAGATACTCAGCTCAGGCAGGGCCCAAGTCCCAAGCCCAAGCCAAGTAATTGAACCTTGCTGATATCTCATCCTTACATATGATAAAGATGAATTTCCATTATTGTTTGGAATTTCCATAGTACTGTACAACATTTGGCTAAATAGAATTCAACACAAGCATTATTACTAAACACTGCATTAAGAGTGTTCGCTTCAAATTCAACCTCATGAAACAACTTCTAAATGGATATACTTGCTATCCAAAGACACGACACCAACAAATAGGACCTACAAAATGCTGTATCAGGTGCACTACACTCTGCAGACTCTAGATGCAGCACTTGACAATTCACATCAACACAATCTTTAAACTATATTGCGCAGCCTAATTACATTTACTTGTGAGTGATAAATCCCAAAATCACGATCACAATACGCACTAAAATCATAATAAATCAGAACCATTAGAAGCACAAACCAAAATTTTCCAGATCTCGTAACAAAAAATGCACCCATCCTATAATCAGGAGCCACGAGACCTCACAAAAAAGCAAGAAAGCCAACCCATACCAAACTTCAAAAGAATCAATTCAAATGCAATTAAGTTCCTGGAGAAAAAATAAATACCTCATAAACGAAAGCATTCAAGAAGAACCTCAGGATAAAGAACGAAAACGCAAAGCTGATCGCAATGCCCAAATGCCGGACTTCTGGCACGCACGAATTCTCACAGATCCACTTCATTTTTCTCTCTCTCAATCAATCAAAGCAACAAGAATCTTGGACAAAAGAGACAACGGTATGAAAACCTTCCAACTGAGAATATTAACAACCCAAAAGATTCAATTTGCAAAAACATTGTGCCCTGCTTTTATTGCTGCGGTCATTAAGGCAGTTCGTGTTGTTGCAGTAATGCTCTCCCGTTATCACGGAGAGAGGAGGAAGCGTCACTTTGAGATCCTGTCTGCGCTATAACTGCACCCCGTCAAAGCTAGGTCAGAAACATGAAACCCCACCTTTCAGAGGAGGTGGCTCTATTTAATTTTCTTCGCTGCAGGAATAGCAGTTGGTTCCTGTATCGTCAACATGTGAAGAAATGCTACTGGTGAAAGATAAAAGGATAACACGTCGTTTGGTCGGTCAAGGGGGGATATTTTCACACCAATTCCAACTCCTAATATGTAATTGCAATCTTATACTGTAGAAGTATGGTGCACTTTGCAATCTTATACTGTAGAAGTATGGTGCACTTTGCAATCTTATACTGTAGAAGTATGTGCACTTTAAGAATCCAGTAGAAAAGAGTCTTTGAAATTAAGAAACCCTTAAATTGATTATCTTGAGTTCGAGATATATTAATATAAAAAAAAAATTTTAAGTGCTAAAAAATAATGCATCTTGTATCAAATTATTTAGACATCTTATTTTCTATACTTTTTAAATATAAAAAAAGTTTATATAGAGCTGAGGCTCTAAACAATCAAATTAAAGCCACCTCAAAACATTTACTAGAAGAGATTTGTTTTAGGCCTAAATATCCTCAAATGGATCATCTTGAAATCAAGATACATGGACATAAGAAAAAAATGGATTTCACTCTTTGGAAATAGTGCATCTTGTAACGCATTGTTGGATTGTCAATTTTCAAGATTTTCAACTTTTCATAGATCTACTCGATCTACACTACTTTTGAAGCTTTAATTTTTATAATTAAAGATGAAAATAAATTTTAAGGCTATCACAAAGATTTCTAGTATTGAAACCACATTTCTCAAGACTATTTGAAGGTGTATTTTACTTTGATTGTTTATAGCCTCGGCTCTATACAAACCTCGCCCTTTAAATATTTATAGTTATGCTCAGTCGATGTTATTTTTATAATTTGAAATTTTCATAATTAGTCTTGAACAGGAATTTTTAAGCAGTCAGAAGATCTTAGACGCTGGAACTACATCATTTGACAAATTTTACAGGTGTACCTTACTTCTAATTTATGGGATTTAGGCCAAAACAAACGTTTAGGTTTTTGTTATTCAGAAATATATGAGAAAAATAACAATAAATTGTTTGAACCATGTCATGAAATCAATAACGTGGTTAACTCAACTAACACAATTTATCATTTTTTAAAAATCTTTTCACTTGCATATGATACTTGATTGATTTTTTGTTGGGTATATATGGCATTTAAAGGTCTTATGAGAGATCATAAAACATTTTGAATAAATGAAACATAAACTCAATGGGAGTGTGGTCTTCTTGTGAACCATACCAGGCAAATGTTATTTGTTGATACTCGGACTAAGCTCGACGTGCTAGGTCAGCTGAGTTTTGAAAAAACGCAAGATACTTGGGCATAAGGATTTAGCAAGAAGGGTTTAGTGAGTTAGCCCTTGATGAGGTTAGAGTATACCCAGATGAGAGCCAAGGGACTGTGTGGCCATTACGTGTGATGAATAGTCTTTAAAGATAAGGTTAAAAACCTCATCGTTATATCATCACATGGCATGTACATAGATAGCCGTATTGAGATTTATCATTGAGGGTGAAGTATGTACATGTGCGAGAGATTACCCCTATGTACTATTGAGTCATAGTTGTATCATAGTTTGGATTACCATATTTTTTTGTCTCTAGAGAGAACTTGAAATCCATAAACTGAGATTGTATCCCTTAGCTTATTGGCTGACTTTGGTAGTCCAATCATGAGCCTCTGCAGTTCACTATGGGATGGGAACTACTGAGTCAATTTGAAAAAGCTAGATGAATCGTGGTCCACAGTTGAAAGTAGAGTGTCCATGTATATTAATAAATTTCTAGATCTAATAAATCTGATTCCCATCAAATTAATTAATTTTATATTATATGATTTTTTTGAATGTTTATTTGAATATTTGTAAATCTTCTGATATTTTATTTTTGCCATTTGAATTTATAAATTAAGAGAAATTCATTTTTCACTTTTTTAAATAAATTATAAGATTTAAAATTACAAATTTAAAAATAAAATATGTCTAAAATTATGTGGGACCCTCCATAAATATGGGGGTCCAATTTGTCACATGTAGGAATTCGGTGGGGTCTGCGTGTGGCCACCAAAGGGCGACACGTCCCCACCCATAGGGATTAACTTATCACCAAGTTAGGTAATAGTTATCCCATGTTGGTTGGCTTTTCCTTTTTGGATATAGCCAACTTGCATGATAAGATTCAAATATTTGAAATATTTAGTAAATCTTGTGAAACTTGTATGATAGATTCAAATATTTGAAATATTTGATAAATCTTGTGAATCAATATTGCTTGATCCAAGAAATAAAGAAGGGAAGTTATCACAAATATACCTTACAGTTTGGATGTCAAAGAAAAAATATTTATATAGAAAAAAATTGCAAGTTTTTTCCTCCTCAATTGAGAACATTATCGTCTTATTTTATTATGTTGGTAAATTGTTTGGATATTTATTAGAGTACGAGAAGAAAATGTAATTTGGCTCCAACGCAATTTAAGAACATCAAAGAACAACTCGTGCCATATCTTCCACACAAAACGGCAAGCAACAAAAACTTGTAAAAAATTATCTAATAAAAACACAAAAAATTAATACAACTACGTTAGCTTTCCTATTTATTAACCACTACAAACATGAAAATGACAAGAAACAAAAACCTGTAGAATTCTCTCTAACCTCTAATTCTAAACAAAAAATCTTAAGACAACAATGTGACACAATTGATCTAAAACACACCAGCTAAACAAGCTACTTGGTTTGCAATTTTGTGTACATCCAAACTGACACTTAATTTTCGTCTATTTAGAAACAAAAAACTACAACTTTCATAAACCTCATCCATACCAATTTTCTTCAATTTTGAGCATTTTGTGACCAAAATAACCTTCACAGTAGTCGTATTATCGTGAAGGACCATTACAGTACTTTAAGTACCGTAAAAACTAACCAATTTTATACGGCGTTTTATATAACGTGAGGAAACCTTTTAGTATTCCTATACTCGAATTACAATAATACTAGATAGGCAACAGGCTTGTATTATGGTACTTAATGTATCGTAAAGATATTTAAAAGTATTACAGTACTTAAAGTACCGTAACCCTATTGATATTTTATACGGTGGAAAAACAATCGTGATTGTTTCTAAACTTTCCCGCGTTTTTTTCAAGATTTCTTTCATCTTAAAAACCCTATTTTCCCATCTGACTCTCTCTAAACCCTCCTAAAAACCCTATTTTCCCATCCCACTCTCTCTAACCCCACATCTCCCTTCTTTAGCCTCCTCTCCTCTCTCTCTCTGTCTCTCTCTCTCCTTCAGCTTCCTCTCTCTCTTCCTTATCCTCCTCCCTCTCTAATCTCTCATCCATTTTCTATTATCCCTTTGTATTTCTCAATCTCTGAACGAGGTCTCTGAGAGTTATTTCTCAACCCGTGAGCATCAAATATACACACCAACACCATTGTATAGGTATGTCATCAAAATCGTGAAGCTTTTTATTATATTTCCTTGGATGTGAGAACACTATTTTTTAATAAATGTTATGTTGTTTTTCTATAGTACTTGATGTAGTTGGGTCGGCCATTGTAATTTTTTTGTTTAAAATATTGCATAAATACAATTTTGATCTGTATTTATACTATGGCATATGTATTGCAATATATTATCCCTTTGTAATACAACCTCCTCACTATATATAAATATTTTGAAACATTTATACATGCGTTGCTTTATTTCGTTATTGATCCCAAAATTTTCATTTCATATTTGTTTCCATCTTAAATTGAAGATCTCAGTAGTGATTGAGCTTGCACGCACCAATAATGGGTGACAACATAGTGAAAATCGCTTTACACTTTGGTGGTTCTTTCAAGAAGAATTCTAATGATGGACATGTTTTCTATGATGGTGGGGATTTGAAGGTTACATTCTTTAGGGGGATCATATCCTTTGACCAAATAAAGGCTCATTTATCAAAAGTAATAAATTATGCCCCAAGTACCATGTTTATTAGGTATATTGACCCAGGGTTACCAAGTAACATGAATATGGTACGTATTGAAGATGATGACGACATTGCAAATATGATGGAAGGGTTTTCTCCCATTGTTATGCACGTATTAAACATACCTATTGAATAGGACTCTACAGAATCTCGACCACCAACAGTGCCTGATAATGGTCCATCAAAATTGGTCATGTAAGAAGTTTGCAATGAAATTTATTTTGTTTATTTAATAATATTTTTAGTGCGGATGTTATGGGTTAGGATAATTCTCACTTGTTCTCCTAATATTTTTTCGACGGCGATACCCGACCAGAGTAAGTAGTTTAGAGTGAAGATGAGAATCATTTAGAAATCGAGCGCCATATCGACAACATCGATCCGATAAAGCCACATCAGGATTGACCGTTACGAAGTTGTACTTCAATAGGGTCAGGATTTTGACGATGTACAACTATAATCACCTTATTGATTATGCCATATCACAAAACTTCATTGTGAAGTTTATAAAATGCGGCGAGAGACGTGTATGGGCGAGGTATGCTATAGATGGGTGTTCATGGTAAGTGTGTTGTTGAATGGTTAATACAACAAACTTCTTCAGGGTGAAGAACTTTATAAACGTGCATTCTTGTGCCGACGCAACAGGCAGGGTTCATCAGTCCCTTACTCGAAGCCACCGGGTGGCAAGTAAGATCAAAGACCGTTTGAATGATATGCCTAATCTAACACTTGGAGATGTTGTTAATGATGTACAACATGATCACAGTGTCATGTTATCTTACCAACAATCATGGCGAAGGGATAAATGATGGTTTCCATGTGAAGGCATATGAGGATCTCCCCAAGTACCTACATAAGATCCAAATCACTAACCCTGGAACCTTAACGATTATTCAAATAAATAATCATGATAGGTTTAAACGTGTATTTATAGCCAATCGTCTATGTTTGTATGGTTTTATGTGTGGTTGCAGGTCATTGATAGGAATAGATGTGACTTTTTTGAAGGGAAGATACAAAAGGATATTATTAGCCGCAGTTGGCATATGTAGTGGTTGCCAATGAAAATACACCAAGTTTGGACTTAGTTTCTAAAGCTTCTCAATAGCACTTTCAAAAGAGGCCTAATC